TTCTGATTATCTCATTCCTTTCTAATTCAATTACATATCTTTTTCTATATCTTTCTAGTCATTATATTTGTACTTTTGTCTGTCCTGCTTACAATTTCATATTTTTTTTCCCATCATCGTCCCGAAAGGGAAAGGAAAAAAAACAATTCCCTCCCCTTCCAGGCATTAAAAAGAAAGATTTCCCCTGTGATTACCTTGTGAATTTTTCACACTTTTGACCATTGGATGCTTGACAACTGGTTTATGATGGTTGCACTGTCCTGGGGGGGGGGGGGTCATGTGATTATTTTTTGTGACTTTCTGGCAAGCAAATTCAATGGGGAAGCCAGATTCACTTAACAACCACGCTCCTGATTTAACAACTGCCGTGATTCCTTTAACAAATGTTGCAAGGTAAGTCATAAAGTGGGGCAAAAGTCATTTAACCAACTTCTCACTTAGCAACATAAATTCTGAGCTCAAAGGTGATCATAAGTTGAGGACTATCTGTAATCCCTGGAGAGGTTCAGCTTCTTTAAAAATTACTTTTCATAAATGAACTACTGTATCAGCAATGTGAAACAGTGGTGGGAGGGATTCAATTTTTTTTACTACCGATTCTGTGGGTGTGGTTTGGTAGGTGTGGCCATGTGACTGGGTGGGTGTGGCTTTTTTTCTTTTTTGCAGCCACCCCCACCCATTTTCTGGGCCTTCTAGGCCTCAGAGGAGCCTCTGAGGGAGGCGTTTTTGCACCCATAAGACTCCTCTAAGGCTCAGGAAGAAAAAAAACAGAGCATGGGAGGGGCATACGGCATCCCTCCACACTCTGTTTTGAGAGCTTCCTGGCCTCAGAAGAGCCTGGGGGGGGGGGCATTTTTGCTCCCATAAGGCTCCTTGGAGGCTTAAGAAGGCAAAAATGGAGGGGGGGCTGAGTCCCTCCCTCCATTTTTTGCCTTCCTGGGCCTCAGCAAGGGGAATCCCAGCACAGCTGATCGTATGTACAGCTGATTGTCGGGAGGAAAAAAAAAAGAAAGAAAGAAATACCTTAGGCGAATGTCAGGCAGGCGGGGTAAAGTGAGGATCAGGCGGGAGGGCGACCAGGTCGGAGGCGTGGACAGCCAGAACTTACTACCAGTTCAGCGACCCATGCCAAATCCTTGCAACCGGTTCACCCGATCCAGTGCGAACCAGCTGAATAACACCACTGATATGAAAGCCTTTCAAGATTTTTTGGCACTATGTCTTACACTATTACTTTTGCATATAGTAATGCAAACAAATAGAAAAAAATGTCATACTTTTTTTCCCCAAAGGTATGGAAAAACAGTTCCAAAAATAGATTTTTTTCTCATTTCTCCCTAACCAAGGATTGAAAATCCCCAGTAATTGTTTTTTTTTCTGCCTATGACATTGCCTTCATCTCATTCTTGGCCATTTCTAAAGTCATCATCAACTGTTCTAGTTGTCTTTTTCCTCTTCTCCTGAAACATCCCCCCCAAAGATATAATTCAGTAATAATTCATTGACCATTTGGTTGCTGATGCAATCAACAGTTGTGATCTGCCCAACTCATATTGGTCACTTTAGGCTTCCATAGGCCCTCCCCCTTCCTTTCAGGCATTGATTCTGTCTTTCATGGGGATTTTGGCTTGGACTGTACAGAGGCATCTGTCTTTGTAATGTCTGATAAGGGCACACCATAATACTCATTAGAGTACCTGTACCTGCTGGTTACCTGTAAAAATGACCTTGCATTTGAAAGACTAATATCTTGTGCTACATAGATCATTTAAACCCAAAAAGAAAGTTGTTTCAGCTGGGTATCACTAGTTCTGTCATGATTGGTTGTAGTACAGATTCCTGCTGTATCTTCAAGCAAGGGGTTTCATTTAGCTAACTTTTTACTATTTTTTATTATTTTAATTTGGGAAAGCAAAGGACAGCACAACTGTTACTGACTCAGCAGAATGCTCAGAGAAGCATCTGTAATTCATTTGATGGTTTGTACAATATACCATAGATAGTTATATCACAACTGTCCTCCCCTGAGTACAGTAGCTTTGTAGCAGCTTCATTAGCTCTTTGGGTGTGACCAACTTGCAAATGAACATATAAAATTCCTTAAGCTAGTGACATTAACAATTAGGTAGGATTAAAACCATTTATCAAAACAATTTAACTAGAAATTAAGAATGTCTGAGGTATTCTTTACTGGAGAAAAGTTAGGAAGCAAGCCATAATGAGAGACTTCTAATGAGTGTCAGGTTTCCAGCACAATAACTTTTATGGAATCAATATGAAAAGTTTTTTGGCTTCTTTTTGCTTATTGTATTAAGGGGATGCGGTAGCTCAGAGGCTAAGACGCTGAGCTTGTCAATCAGAAAGTTTGGCAGTTTGGCGGTTCAAATCCCTAGCGCCGCGTAATGGAGTGAGCTCCCATTACTTGTCCCAGCTTCTGCCAACCTAGCAGTTTGAAAGCATGTAAAAAAGCAAGTAGAAAAATAGGGACCACTTTGGTGGGAAGGTAACAGCGTTCTGTGCACCTTCTGCATTTAGTCATCGCGGTCACATGACCATGGGGATGTCTTCAGACAGTACTGGCTCTTCGGCTTTGTAACAGAGATCAGCACCGCCTCATAGAGCCGGAAACGACTAGCATGTATGTGCGAGGGGAACCTTTACCTTTACCTTATTAAGGGGCTACTCAATCCCTCGTTTTTGGGGAGAAGACCCAGCTTTCATCTGCCATTTGTTTGGTAATGGCTAGAAATGACATCAAGTGTTTTCCTCTGGCTACATAGAAATTAGCTCTCATGCCTGCAACACATGATTTTAGATTTGCACAGAAAGCAAATTGAGGTTTCCACTATTCAGCTGTTGGCATTGTTGGGTCAGCTGGATGACAGAGATCCAATTTGTTTCTTACGTAGATTTAAAGCTGTGCCTAATGAGGTCATTGGCTCTTTTCAACCAGTATAAACTACCTTTAATGACACCCCTGTCTGAGATTGGGACTCTCTGATAGACATTATGTGTTGACAGAAGAGCAGATTGTATGAAAATGTTGGGTGGATTGTTTGTTTAACCAATGCTAAATAGGTTAATGTTTCATAGATTGGTATCCTTAGTTTTACTGAACTAAATTTCTTATCTTTTCTATGAAGGCTGGATGAAGAAAGTGCCATTCTAGTACAATTGAGCAGATAGGCAAATCATCCTTAAGGACCAAATCTTTTTGTTAATGCAAAAATTGAGAGACTCCATAGTAGTATTGCTAAATAGCTAAATGCTTCTTCTAGAATCTAAACTCTTCTGGAGAGACAGTATCTGGAATTGCCTTTTCCTAGAAACTTTGGCTGTTCTTGCCCTGTATCTGGGGTTGCACTTCTAACGAAGTATTCTTGCCCTTGTATCTGCAGGTAAAATGGAGAACATTTTGATTGAGGAGAGTGTCAATGGTGAGACCAAGATAATCTTGTTAAATGCAGCCTATTTTATAACAAACTGGATGAAGAAATTTCCTGAGGCACAAACCAAAGAATGCCCATTCAGAATAAGCAAGGTATAGAATGAAGCAACCTCAAACTTTTTAAACAAAAATTAAATGCTACAGAAAAGTTTTCAATTTCTTGCTGAATTTTAAAGTAGCCTCTACTTCAATTCACACAATCCTAAATCAGCTCTGATGAGTGATTTTAAAGTTAATGACACAAACTGCCAGTATGTCATAATGGTTCATTTACGGTCTATCTCTCAAAAACAAACAAACATGTGTATGTCTAGAAATCACCAGAATGTTCCTTTTTGCAGTTAAAAGTTATGGGCCACAAGATGGTAAAAATAAAATTTGAGAACATTATGGATAGCAAAAAGATTAGTGGGGAATGTCAAATGGATTACATTGTTTTACATAGTTTGGCAACTCTTTGTCACATTTTGATTACTGGTTCTTCATAATCTTCTTGACTTCTGTTGTATATAGTAAATTTTGAATCTTGGTCAAGATTTCAAATGGGTTAAAATACTGTATATGATGATTCATCCTAGAATTCTTATTATCTATTCTTGCTATGAATCTATATTTCATATACCAGTTCTAGGTTAACAAATGTAACTAACACTGAATTTCACAAAATAAGATGCTGAGATTAATATTTTCAGATGCATGATTATAAAGAAGCAAATATAATGTTAATCACACAGAATGCATTTCTTAAAAATTATATTTTTTAAAAAAAAATCTAGCCAAAGGACTGCATTTCTTCAAAATATTAACTTTTATTTTATAGTGTACATATTTGTATTCAACTTTGTGATAATTTAACAAAGTTTAACATTTGAGTTCTATTCTCAATTCATATTTTAATATATGAAGGTAAATAGACACATAGTCAGGAATTTTGACCACAACTGGTATGTAAATGAACTCTCAATTTATATTTTTCCCTTATTAGACGGAAACCAAACCTGTACAGATGATGAACTTGGAAGCTACATTATGCTTGGGCTACATAAATGATTTAAAAACCAAGATTCTGGAACTCCCATGTCATAATAAACATATAAGCATGCTTATCTTACTACCTAAAGATCTAGAGGATGATACAACTGGATTGGAACAGGTAGAAATAAATATTTGGATAAATTTCAAAGTATTCTTTGAAAAGCTGCATATCAATCACTCTCTTCCTTGAATGTTTCAAAAGTCTGATTAGAAAAGAGTGAAAAATAGATTTATTTCCTAATGTGTCTTGTAGCCATTTGTTTAGTTCATTGAATGTAGCAGGTCCATATTGTTTGGACCCTATATTAATAAAAAGAAATTGGACTGGATGATTCATTAGCTCAAATCACAACAGCTAGTAGCATTCCAGGTATTACAATTATATTAATTGTCTTCAGTCCTCAGGCAAAACATAATGCCACAGTAAATTAAAAAATCCACAACAGTTGCATGCATTAATGAACCCAAATTAACTTTGACTTAATGTTAAATAATCTCCATCTATGACCAGTGGTTTGCCAGCTGCTGGACACTGTGTATGACTGATCGGCAATAATACAATATAATACCATACCATGCAATACAATACTATTACGTTACCATACCATACCATACCATACTATACCATACCATATCATACCATGCCAAACACACAGTATCCCAGGGTTGTCAAACTTAATTTCATTGAGGACCTGGGAGGCTGGGGGGCATGACCAGAGTGAGCATGGTCAGCTCAATGTCACTCATTGAGGCTCCATTTTTGACCACGACAGCCCTCCTGGGCTCTGTTTTTGGCCGCGATGGCCTCCTGCAGCCCACTGCTAGTGAAAACGGAACTCGGAAGGACCATGCACGACATCCCCAAGTTGCGTTTTCACTAGCAGAGAGTTGCAGGAGTCATCGTGGCCCAGAATGGAGCTTGGGAGGGCTGTATGCGGCCCGAGCTCCCTTTTTCCTGGCAGAGGCACTATAGGCCGGTCCTTTGCTGTTTCCAGCAAAGGTGGTGGCTCCCATCCCTCGGCCTTGAATTTGACACCCCTGCAGTATCTAATCAGAACTGATACTCTATTCACCTACTATTTTTTTTATTTCTTTAGCTTGAGAAGGAGATCACCCCAGAGAAGCTGGTACAGTGGACCAATCCTAGTGTGATGGCAAACAGTAGAGTTAATGTGTTCCTCCCCAAATTTAAAGTGGAAAGTGAATATGACTTCAAACCCATTTTAGAAAGCCTTGGTATGACTCACATGTTTGATGAGAATGCATCAGATTTCTCTGAAATGTCAGAGTCAAAAGGCATTGTTCTTTCCAAGATCATTCACAAAGTGTCTCTGGAAGTAATTGAAGAAGGAGCAGAATCTCGAGACGTTCCTGGATACCGGATCCTACAGCACAAAGATGAATTTAATGCAAATCATCCTTTTCTTTTCTTCTTTAAGCACAACAAAAGTCGCAGTATTGTATTTGCTGGTAGATTCTGTTCTCCTTAAACAGAACTGCCTATAAAGAAACCTGTTATCAATATTTTCTGGGTATGAAATATTCAAAGGTAATCTACACAGTTTCTCTTGTTAATTGAGTTGAATAACTTCCTGTTCAAATGAATTTACAGAGGAGTGGCCATATCAGTTAGTTGTAGCAAAAATAAGTGTAAAGACACCTAAAAGACTAAAATAATTTATTATGGCATATCTTCTAGTGAACCATAGTTGAATTTATCAGCTAGATATTATACACCAAAGTTGGGAAGATGGTTTCTTGTTTACATATAAAATAAACCTGAGAACAAATTCAGCAAAATGTTTGATAGGTAGCAATAAAACAATTTGCAAAGTTGTGATGTCTCCAGAATACTGCAGTTTGTTTTATGCTCATTGGCAATATTAACTTTATTGAACTGTCTAGCTAGGGAAGACCTCGTATGAGTTTCTTCAGATCTTAAAAAATCTTGAATTAGTTAAATCACTAATTTGTGACTGGAATATCAGAAGTTTTATATCTGTAGTGAGACATTAATCAATTAATGTAGATTTTTTTTCTTAAATATGTTTAACAGTAAAATATGTTCTTGTTTTTTTAATTAATATTGGGAAGTTATTAACTTAGATTACCTTCATTTGTTCCAAATAAAGCATTGCAAAAACTACAGTATATTTTCTTATTGCTGAAGTTTAAAGTGAAAAACAACTGCACCTCCTGCATCATTTGAAATCTGACTTCATATATCAGTGATAATATGCTTTAATTAATGGAGTTACTTAATGCTGTTCTTTGTTATATGGGAAGTATGCACTATTTAACACCTGAACAAGAGAATGAGTTTCAGTTCAAGGTTTGGATTTGTTGATGTCCATTTACAATTTTATGTCTCTTCTATATTAAAGTTTTGAAATAGATGCTAAATCATATATTTCAAGAATGTGTTTGGCAAAGAAGATACCTATTCTTTGGGAGAGTGATTAAGAAATGTTAGCTAAATGTTGGAAAATGTCAGATATGCCAAATTTTACTGAACACACTTTTGAATGGCCTTTTTAAGCTTGACTGATGACAAGGCATGACATCAACAGTATGTGGTGGCCTACTATTTCTCCAGCCCTCCTTTAATATGTAAGTGGAGGGGGCAATCTGTGAATAGGGGCCCCATTACTGTACTAACACTGATTTACAGTGATCCATGGTGGTAGGTGTGCTATGGTGAGATGGAATTACCTCAGCCATATTTGTATGGTGGAAAATCAGACTTACATGATACTAGGCTCTGCCCTGAACACTAAACTAGACCTGGAGCTGGTGTAATGAATTCCCTTCCATTCACATGGATATGGGGGGGGGAAAAAAACCCTGCAAGGCTTACCTGCTGTAAATTAGGACATGGAATGGAATCATGATAGCTGCACTCTATTATTTGACTAAATAATTGTATTTTCTGCCATATACTGTATATTTACGGGTTCTTGCTGTGATTGGTCCATGAATTGGAGATCTAGTTCAAATTAGGATACAGACATGGCAGGAGGCAGCTTGGCCTGAATTAAGTCAGGACTTTGTCAGGAAGTAGATCTACCTGTGCCAGTGAGAAGTGAAACTTAAGACCATGAAGATAGTGAAAAGTAAGCTCAGAGGCTTAATGAATAGGGATTAAGTTACTTCTTGGTACAGTATTGTGCACATTTGGATAGAATATACTTAAGCGTAAATAGGACTGTACTAACTCAATTAAATCTATGAAGAAAGAGGCGGTATGAAATGAAACAGAAACACTAATAATGAGCTGATAGGTCTTGTTTCAGGTGCTCTACCTGGTCAGTGTGCTGAACCTGGCAATGGCTCTTGTCCATGGCATTCCCTGTCTCTGAAATGCCCCACCCCAATGAAAGTATGACTTTCGGTAACAACTTGAGTTCTATGAGTGTCTAGATTGACTCCTACCTTTACCTACCCCAGCAAGCAGCCATGTTTTATTGTCCTTTGATGCCAAGTGGAGATGTTTTTATTCTCCAGTCATTTAACAAATAATATATGTTGATTATTAACACACTGGTTTCCTACTGCTTTTGGTGGAATTGCTTCAGTGTTTTAACTGAAATATTTTAAGTATTTTATATTTCAACCGCTTTGGAATTTCATGGGGTTTGAATCAATTATAAAACAAAAATGACCTAGTTTTGCAGTGTGACCTAGATTTTAGTTAAACATAAAAATAACAAATATACAAATGAACAAAAACATGAATATTCTGAGTATCAACGATAATCCCCACTGTTGTGATGGAGGAAAAAAGGCAGAAGTGGAAGACAGTTTGCATGTACCAAACCAATTATTATTTCATGTTGTTTGATCCTGGCACAATGATCTCATGTTATTCTGTATTTCATATACAGGTATTCCTTGTTTAATGACTGTCTCATTTAGTGACTGCAGTCACAACAATGATGAAAAGGTTAAGAAAAGGATACATATTTGCTGTTATTAACTAAGAAAGATGAATCCATTAACGGTTTTCCATTGTCAGTGGTGGGATTCAATTTTTTTTACTACCGGTTCTATGGGCGTGGCTTGGTGGGTGTGGCAGGGGAAGGATACTGTAAAATCTCCAGTCAGAGGTGGTAACGTCCGGTACTCCGAACTACTCAAAATTTCCGCTACCGGTTCTCCAGAACTGGTTAGAACCTACTGAATACCACCTCTGGATGGGATCATCTTTGGATGCCCAAGAAATACAAATTATAAAAATAAATGCCACTTGGTAAGCTCACCTGTTGCAAAACCAGAATGGTTGCAGTTGGTACAATTTCTCTAATCTGAATTACTCCAGGGCAGAGTTTTATTGCCTTTATAATGACTATCCACGTGAAACTGAGCCCAAGAAGGATCTCGGTACTTTCATGCCTACTCTGACTCTTTGGGAGCTAGGAGGTTTAACAAATTATTCAATCAATATCACCCCAATATATCTATATGTACATTTTACAAGATTATAGTTTGATATTATTACTGAGATAAATTTAATTGGTATCTACAGAAAGACATGTCTTTGTACATCACCCAGACTGCGGTATGGTCTTCTGAGAATGGTGGTATGAGCACTAACTTTGAATATTAGTTGAAGTGTCAAATCCTCTTTGCACAGACACTTTTAATTGTGTGTACACTGTTTGTTTTATATACATTGTATTTGTTTTTATAATAACATCCTATCTTGGGATCCCAGGTATATGAAGGAGTACTTTAGAGTAATACCTACACTTGGGATTGATGTGCAAAAATCATGTACACCCACATCCCCACCTGTCTATATATTCATTACCAAGGTAAACATGGGTAAAAATGTAAACATTTACCACCTATTGTTGTCACTTTTTAAAATAAAAATCTGGATTTGAGTTTTGGTATTATGTAAAAATATGTTTAATTATATGTTTTATTCCTTTAAATCTACAGTCTGAAATATGTATTAAAGCCATTTAGATTCATCAGATTAATCTACTCCGGAGTGCAATGGATTACACCATCAAATTGCTAAATGTGTGTGTGTGTGTCACAAAGCTCAACATTAATTGTCTTCATTTCCTTACTTGTTAAACTTGTACAGGCAAGAACCTGCTTCTATTGCGCTCCAAAAATACTCGATTGTATTGGATATTATTTTGTTTGATTAAAAGTAGCCTAATCAAACAGGATTGTATAAAAGCAGAGATTGAGATTATTTTAGGGTAAAGAAAAATCACTTAAAATGTAGACTCATACATAATAAAAATAAAGAGTTCATATGATGGGAGGTGGATACAAATTTCTCCGAACATCATGAAATCACCTGATGTATACAGCCATGAAAGGGTGTGGTAATTATAGACTTCCTCAGAAAGCTGAAGAGAAGCATTGGGTAAAAGCAATCTCATAACAACCAAAGTCAAGCAGCCGGTAAATATGATTTTGTTTAAATATTAATATGCCTAAGTACTGAATGTGAAAGCAATGTTTTTCATAACTAAGGGGTGGTGGTGAATGTATGAAAAGAAAATGCTGTTTTATGAATTCAGAGGACAGTCAAAAATTTAATACAAGATAGTGAAGAACAACAGATAATTATGTCTGTACAAACAACGCCAAATGAAAGATGTTGTTGGTTTTGGGAATGAACACTTGTTAATGAAATGAAATTAACACGACGGCTTTTTTATTTTAAATGTAAATATAGCATGGGCTGGATCTATAGTGTCATGACAGATAACTCTGTTTGGAAAGGAGGTGGGAGATATTGCAAACAGGACATTTTCCAGTATAGATTTCCATTGCTGAGAACAATTGGTAAGATTCCTAAAATGGGAAGAGAAAGATAATGCAGGAGGAAAGTGTCTTTTGGTAGCCTAAATCCTGTCCCCTTGTGAATATTTCAACTTGCCGTAAGAGATTTGTTGAGGAAGAGGGAAAGAATTTAAATGTGTTTCTCCAAAGACAACGACTGGTTTGTCCATACAGTACCAAGAATACAGTTCAATTCAGCAGCACCCAACATTGTACTGCAGCCCTGGTACTCAACAGGGAGACTTCAGCCTATCCATCAGACATGGGGATACCATGTACGCTCAAGTACGCCCTACGGCATGATTTAAATCAGGGGTGTCCAACCTTGGCAACTTTAAGACTTGCAAAGCTGGCTGAGGAATTCTGGGAGTTGAAGTCCACAAGTCTTAAAGTTGCCAAGGTTGGATACCCCTGATTTAAATGATTGATTATGTGACTGTTTTAACTTCCTCTGGTTCAATGTTGTTCAGTGTTACTTTAAAACTCATGTATTAGAAAGTCAACATTGCCTCTATACTTGTATAGGTAGTCCTCGACTTACAACTGCTCATTTAGTGACTGTTCAAAAGTTACAACGGCACTGAAAAAAGTGACTTACTACCATTTCCACAGTTGCAACCTTTATAGCAATCTTCAGAGCGTCCCAAGGTCATGTGATCACCTTTTGTGACCTGATAAGCAAAGCCAATGGGGGAGAGCAGATTCACTTAACAATCAGGGTTACTAACTCATCAACGGCAATGATTTACTTAACAACTGTGGCAAGAAAGGCCATAAAATGGGGCACAATCCATTTAACAAATGTCTCACTTAACAGAAATTTTGGGCTCAATTGTAGTCTAAAGCTAGGATTACCTGTATTGGTCTAGATCAGTGTTTCTGAGACTTGGCAACATTAAGATATGTAGACTCTAAGTCCCATAATTCCCTGGCCAGTTGAGGGTTTCTGGGAGTTGAAGTCCACATATCTTAAAGCTGCATGGCTCTAGAAAGCATCCAATGTTGCATGTTTGTTGTGAATTGTATTTGCAGCTAAGTATACTAATCATCACCTGTTTCCATTCTAGTTAGTTTTTTCCCTGTAATTTCCTAAATAGATTTGTTTTCCCTTTTTGCTTTTTTGCTTCAGTTTTTCTATTCTTGTCTCACCTGCTCCAGTTGCAGGAACTTTGAATATAAAATATACTTGAAAATAACAGCTTTGAAAAAGTGCAACTTGACAGATGCTTTCATATTAAATAAATTTATTTTGCTGCCCCCTCCCCCACCTTTCCCTTGGGTGTGGCTTTCTAGACTTCTATATGCAATATCCAAAACCTGCTGCTCCTGAGCATCTGGTTACTTATAGGTTTTCTCTCCTTTTTTTTTTCCTAGCCAGTCATGGATTTGAGTCTCACCAGGCAGTCACTTTCCAAAGCCATTACTACCTTTGCCTTGGATCTTTACAATAGGTTAAATTCCAATAAACTTTGCAAAAATGTTTTTTTCTCCCCTGCGAGTATTTCAACGGCCCTGGGCATGGTTTTAATTGGTGCAAGTGGGAATAGTAAAATGCAGATTGAAAAGGTAAGCAAGACCGTGACAGGGCTTCCTGACAAAAATTTGTTTTCTTCTTTTGGAGGGCCTGGAAGCTGATTCAAAAATTCTATCACATAATGCTGGAAGACCAAATCTGCAGTTGAGGCACATGGAAGATTTTGAGCAATGGTTGTGTGAGGTTAAATTATGCAAATGACACATTTACCTAAACCAAATGTATTACGTCAATTGCCTGCTTTAAAGAAAACAGACTGTGTGGGTTCTACGGGAGCGCACTCCAATTTTATCCATTGCATTCAAAGTCAGTTGAAAAGGAGTTTGTAGAATGGAAGTTTTCCTATGCCCTTATTATTTAGACTCCCTTTTTGCTTTTTCTATTTTTATAGTGAGCGTTAAATTTGAAGCAATGTGATTTGGCTAATGTAAAACACATTTACATACATAGCAAAATACATTTTGTTAATGTATGCTGTATATAGCTATACTTTTCTTAATTAGTGCAGTAAAATAAGTAAACTTTTTTTTCTGTTTCTGCTTTCCGTTCAGCATCACATGTTCATAACTGTTAACAGGAAAGAATAATCACAGCACTTGAACCTTCCTCCAGATGAATTAGACTGTAATTTCCATTTTACTAGCCATCTGGAGGGCATCAGTTTGGGGAAAGTTGGCCTATTCTCCCAAGCCAAATTCAGCAATTCGAGATACCCACTAGATATTCCCTGTAGAATTATCCATCCATTTTTGAATGGGAAGAAATGTCTTTAAGATTTGATGAAATTTGCTCTTCCTCCAATTACCTGCCTTTCCTGCCTCTGTTGCCACTCCCTGCGGTTCCTTGCCTTCCAACAAGGTAATGGGTGACGCAAAGTCTAAACAATTTGGCACATCTTGACATGCCTTTGGATGGTGTTGGAATAAGACAGAAAATATTCCATTACATCTAAGGGTGACTTAATCCTTTTACACTTGTGGGCTGGGGATGAGATGACATCAGGAAAAAAACAATTGAAGGCAATATCTTGAGTGCATTGCTAAAAAGAATATATGGCTGAGACGTGTTTGTGTTACGTTTAGGTAGAAAGAGAGACTAGTGGTATTTATTATAAAAAACAAAGTTGTCATAAACCATGGCAATTTTGCACATGGAACATACTTGGAATTTTGAGTGCATCTCATGAATTCATTTGCAAATGTGGAGAATTGTACAATCATGAAGTAGCTCTTCGTTCAAAGGCAGAGGATACTGCTTTGTTTTGCAGTAGGTTATATTTGATTATAAAAATTTATTGTTGGTGGTTTTAAGTTCAGGTGTAGACCAGTTTCCCTGTTTGCAGATGCCGTGTTGCTTGTTTGCCTGACTGCTTATTTATGTTATAAATAAGGTCTCTGTTTTATTCTGTGTTGATTGCAACTACTTTTGCTGTAGGTGCTACACCTTGCTCAAACTCCTGGAGAAACAGGACCACTTGATTCTGAAAGAAGAATGGTTGAACTTGCGCCAGAATCTGTGAGACAAGACATACCTCTTCCATCAGTATGTCCAAAAACATTGTTAAACCCCACAGAATTATATAATTTATCAAATTATTTGTTCCTTCCAGTACTTTGGTCAATAATACTTTATGGATGGACTCAGGCTGAGCTATTATATATGGTAGTGGTGGAGATAAGCTTCCACATTATCAGAAGTACTACATAGCCTTTACCCTCTTAGCAACACAAATGGAGATTAAACCACACAACAGACACAAACATAGGAAAGCAATGAAAAGTACAAATGTACTAACATTGTAGGAATACAACCAGAGTCCAATAATTAGAGATAACACTAGGATTTGTAATATTCATGTACTATTTTATATAAAGTAAGTGATTTCACAGTAATAAGCAAGGGCCTCATAGGATATTACCTGGGTCACAACTCAAAGGACACTCAAAATGGCAAAGCTACACTTGTTCCGTTAAGCCACAAAGGCGCAGATATCACAACCCTAGGATTGATAGCCCAGAGCTACTTCTTTGGTTAAGTATTCAGTTATTTTCTGCTTGTTTTGAAAAAAACAGCCCCAAAAGCAGTGTATTTCTGTCTCTGCTATTTTAGACAACAGCCTAAAACAGCAAGAACTAAATAAAACAAAATTAATTTATTTATGAATTTTGCCACCCATCTCACATCTAAGGACTCTGAGCGACTTACAACATTGAATTTAAAAAAATCAGATTAAAAAGAGTCTGAACCTGTACCCTAACCCAAGGCCTAGGGGACAAGCCAGCTTTTCAAAGTCTATAATCAGATGCGGGGGGGGGGGGCATATGGGTCTCTTGGGGGAATGCTATTCCAGATCAGGCACCATGCAAAGCTTTCCACCCCTCCATATCTCTGGCACATTTGGTTCATAGTCCTTGTGAGAGAGAGATTCAAAATCTGTAGGGGAGAACTTAACGGCTCCCATATGACTACCATAAGAACTTTTGAATATTTACATGGCTGCCACAGTGATCCTAGCTGAGCACAAAAGACTCATTTATCCGCAGGCGGACTGAGGTTACTTCTAGTGACCTACTCTAGTTTTACTCCTCTTTACCACTTTGGGAGGAAATCGTAGAAATATAATATTGGAGGCTTATATTTTCTTTAATATACCAGTTTCATTTTTTAAAAAAATAATAAAGTCAGGCGATTCAGAGAACTTGTGTGCCTCAAGAGAGATATTAGCATATACCCTGATAGAAATGGGCACCAAAGTTGACTGCCCTACCGTGAAGTAAATTGAACCTTGTGATATGTTTCCTGCCTTTCATGCCAAGGAGACAGCAATATAATTATTTTTATTCAGCTTCCAATCTTCTCTTTCATATCTTGACTAGGAAGGAACAATTTATTCCGAGTTCAAGCAACTCTTACTTCAGCTGAATAACCTCAGCCATGGTTACCAGCTGAAACTGGCCAATAATTTGTTCATGCAGAAAGGATACCAATTTCTTCAGGTAAGGCCTCTCTCCTTTAAATAAAGTTAGAGCCTTTTCATTGCTTGCCAAGTATTCTAGATTCAGTGTATAATAATCTTCATGTAAAGCTGGGAAATACCCAGTGCTGGATCTGTCAGTCATTGTGGACAATATTGAAATAGATAGGCCAGTTAGCTGACTAAAGTTCAAAGTAGCTTCCTATGTTATTGCAATCCTAACATCAGACACTTTAAGAAACGAAGGAAAGTGAAGAGCGGATATACAAGACTTGTTGATTCTTTGCAGCAATCTAAGCCGTTGTTAAAATAGTTGTCTGAACTGAGGCCGTTTTCAGTTTGATGTTATATTGCCTTAGATCAGGGCTGTCAAACTTGTGGCCTGCGGACCAGATGCATCACGCGCTGGCCACACCCACTCTTATTTTAGCAAAGGGGAAAACGTTGCGATACCTCACGTGATGACAACGTGATGCTGCGAGTTTGACACCCCTGCCTTAGATCCAACAGAGGAGAAAAAATGTGTTCATTCCTTTTGGAGTCACCATGAATATTTTAACATTTCATTCCCCAACTTCTAATGTCTCAGAGGAGCCTCAATCCAATTGCATTATGTTCTGGTTAGGGTTACCCAGATGTCCAACAAAAGTAGGAGGTACTGTCCTTTTTGTCTTCATGTCCTTCTTCTGGCAGGCATAGCCTTAAAATCAAGTATTGTCCAGCTTTTCGAATACAGCTAGTTTTTGACTTACAACAGTTCATTTAGTGACCGTTCAAAGTTACAAGTATTAAAAAAGTGACTTATGACCCACTTTCACACTTACAACCATTGCAGCATCCCCACAATCACAAGATCAACATTCAGACGCCTGACAACTGATTCATATTTATGATGGTTGCAGTTGCCCAAGGTCATGTGATCCCCTTTTGCAACCTTCTGACAATGGGAAGCTAGATTCATTTAACAACTGTGTGACTAACTTAACAATTGCAGTGATTCACTCCACAACTGTGGCAAGAAAAGTGGTAAAATGGAGCAAAGTTCACTTAACAGCTGACTCGCTTAGCAACAGAAATTTGAGGGTCGTAAGTTGAGGACTACCTGTATTTTCCTGAGCAGCTTTTCTTCACAGTGCAGGGCTTCTCTAATAAGTGCTGACCACAAGTTAACAAGTCCTACTTATTAATTTAGTTATTTGATTAGTACCCACAGGTCAGTTTACCCAACTGCCTGAAATTAACGAGACTTCAATCAGTTAAAAGCCTTCAGCTCCTAACTGTACCAGCACAGTCCTTTAATTGAAAAACTGTTCTTTCTGATGCTGGAAGAAGTTCATTTCATATTCACATAGACCAGTGGTGGCTAAGCTTTTTGGGCTCCTGTGCCAAAAATTGTCCGCGTGTTTGCACGCTCGCACTTGCGTGCCAGCACCCAGAAGGCAATGTGCACCCCGCACATCCCCTATGCATGCAATCCTCTCTCACCGTGCTGCCCCCTTACCTGCACTGTGCCTCACAGCTGATTTTTGGCCAGTTTGAGGCCTTTTTCGGCCTCCCAAAGGCTTGAGGAAGGCTTCTGCAGACTTCTACAAGCTTTGTAGGCCGAAATCTAGCCCTGTTTCGTCACTTCCTGTTTTTCTGAAAAAACCCGGAAGTGATGAAATGGGGCTAGATTTCGACCTACAAAGCTTGTAAAAGCCTGCAAAAGCCTTCCTCAAGCCTTTGGGAGGCCGAAAATCAGCTGTGAGGCATGCATATGTGCAGTGAGGTAAATTTGCCTGCAGCTCATGTGCCGGCAAAAATGGCTCTGCGTGCCACCTCTGGCACGTGTGCCAAAGGTTTGCTATCACGGACATAGACCTAAAAACATTTTTGGCAGTCTTTCACTGTAATTTTTGTGATAAGAAAGTTAAAGAGTTAGTGTCTATATGGAGATTCTCAGTCATCCAAATCATGGTTGTCCCAAAGGTGCTTTTTCAGTTGCCTCTTGAAAAAGCATCTTTGGGTTAAAGAGTTAATGTATTTTCCTCCCTCCTCCTCTAATTTGTCCTCCTTTCCACTTGTCCACATCCTGCTTTGTCCATTCAGCTGTTTTATAGCCCTGGTTCCAGCAGATCTGAAAGTTCCCTTTCTGTGGGAAATCTCAATTAGAATTAGAGATTTATTTCATTTCATTTCATTTTATTTATTTGTTTGTCAAACTTGTACAAGATAACAAGTGTAAGTATGAACATGAACAGGAACAAAGGAAGTAAATACAGATAAATAAGGACAGTAAGACGGGGACGGTAGGCACGCTGGTGCGCTTATGCACGCCCCCTTTAAGGACCTCTTAGGAATCGGGTGAGGTCCACAGTAGACAGTTTGAGGTTGAAGCTGTGAGGGGTTGAGGCTGTAACAACGGAGTTGGGTAGGGTGTTTCAGGCATTGACCACTGTTGCTGAAGTCGTATTTACTGCAATCAAGTTTAGAGCGGTTTATCCTGAATTTGTATCGGTTGTTTGCCCATGTATTATTGTGATTGAAGTTGAAGGAAGTCATTGACAGGCAAGATGTTATAGCAGACAGTTTTGGGAACTATGCTTAGATCGGACCGCAGGTGGTGCAGTTCCAGATTGTCCAGGCCCAACATTTCGAGCCTGGAGGCATAGGAAATTCTATTGTGAATAGAGGATTGGAGTACTTTTCTTGAGAAATACCTCTGAACCCGCTCAATTGTGTTAATGCCCAATATACAGTGCAGGATCCTGGTGGACGAGCTGTATTCGAGAATTGGTCTGGCAAAGGTTTTGTATGCCCTAGTTAACAATTCAATGTTGCTGGAGAAGAAGCTTCGCAAAATAAGGTTACCAACTCTTAAAGCCTTTTTGGCAATGCTGTTACAGTGAGCTCTGGGGCTTAGATCATTTGAGATTAGTATTCCTAGGTCCTTGACAGAGTGAGGGTCATCTATGAGATCGTTTCCGCCTAACTTGTGTTTGGTGTTCTGACAGAGCAATATCTTCTTGAGCAAAGCCTTGGTGGGTGGGGAAATGTATGCTCATAGGCTTGTTGGATTTGCGTCTTTCCTGTCCAATGTAAGAAAAACTCCTAGCACTTCACAAACAAAAATTCTGCTGACTAAAAATGCACCACCTCAGGATGTGTTTTTCTTCCCTCCTCTTTTCCCCTCTCACTGACATTTTCCAGCAATATCTCACAAGTACTAAGGAAATCTACAACGCTATGGTGCAGATAGTGGATTTTTTCCTTGCTACCGAAGAAACAAGGAAGACAATTAACCTTGAAATTTACAAGCAGACCCAAGGTAAGAAAGGCAAGGGTTTCTTGTCCCGACAATAGGTTGCCCTCGCTTAATGACCCCAAAAGGAACTGGCAACTCTGTTGCTAAGCAATACAGTCATTAAAAATTACATGACTGCAATTTGAAATTTTATTGCTGACTTGTCCGTTGGCTCTGCTTGTCGTAAACCAGTTGTGAAGAACCCAAAACTTGGCCAGGTGAATACCTGGATGCTGCAATAGTCATAAGTATGAGGACTGGTTGTAAATTTACTTTTTCAGAATTGTTATAATTTTGAGTGGTCCCTAAACAAGGTTATTATTAAACAAGGACTACCTATACCCCATTCTGCAAACATTACAAAAGAAATGGAAACTTTTTAGGCAGGTAGAGGTAAGAAATTCAAACCTTGGATAAGTCACAATTCTTTAAACAGAGATGGGAAAAAAAACCTCTTTCCTGAAAGCCAGAAATTTGCCCTCAATCAGTAGTGCCAAAATAGAACTAAATAGATCTATAGCAGGGGTGGGCAAACTTTTTGGCTCGGGGGGCCGCATTCACTTTTAAAATTTGACAGATGGGCCTGGTCAGCACAAGATTTTTTGGGAATCGCCCCCCCCTTCCCCCCCTTCTTCTCCTCCTTCCCCTCCCCTCGGAGGCCCCCTGAGTCAGGAGTTGCTACTGCTGGCACGGCTCCACGCGGCTCCAGTCCCACGTTGCCTCGGGAAAGGAAAGGCAAAAAGGAAGAGCCGTGGCGGTGCTTTGCAACAGCAGCAGCAGCACCGGAGGTTCAGGCTCAGCGGCTCCTGGTTTTGCCTTTCCCTTCCCAAGGCAACGCGGGACTGGAGCCGCGCAGAGCTGCGCCGGCGGTAGCAACTCCTGACAGCCCCAGCCGGACACCTGAGCAGAGCCCGGGCAGAACTGCCTGTTGCTGCTGCAGGCGCTGCTGCGGGTGTCTGGCTGCCCAAGTAAAGAACCGCACCAGCTCAGGGCAACTGTGAGGAGCAAGAGGGGAGAGGCAGAGAAGGAGGCAGAGAAGGAGGAGAGCACCTGGCCAGTTGGGGGAGGCTTCTTGTGCTGCGAAAGAGGCGGCTAATGATCTCCGGCTCCACTCTGCTTCTCCAACATCCGGCGCTGCCCTGTTCTATGCGCCGGCTGCTCGGACTTGCTGGGCCTGACACAGAACAGGGTGGCGCCGGATGTTGGAGAAGCAGAGCGGAGCCGGAGATCATTAGCCACCTCTTTTGCAGCACAAGAACAGGGTGGTGCCGGACCATTGGAGAAGCGGAGCAAAGCCGGAGATTAGTAGCTGCCTCTTTCGGCGCAGAAAGCTTCCCCCAACCAGCCGGCTGGTCTCTTCCTCCTCGGCCATACAAAACAAACAGACAGAGAAGGAGGAGAGCAGCTGGTCAGTTGGGGGAGGCTTCTTGTGCTGCCAAAGAGGCAGCTAATGATCTCCGGCTCCACTCTGCTTCTCCAACATCCGGCGCTGCCCTGTTCTGTGCGCCGGCTGCTCGGACTTGCTGGGCCTGACACAGAACAGGGTGGCGCCGGATGTTGGAGAAGCAGAGCGGAGCCGGAGATCATTAGCCACCTCTTTCGCAGCACAAGAAGAACAGGGTGCTGCCGGACCATTGGAGAAGCGGAGCAAAGCCGGAGATTAGTAGCTGCCTCTTTCGGCGCAGAAAGCTTCCCCCAACCAGCCGGCTGATCTCCTCCTTCTCTGCCTGTTTGTTCTGTATGGCCGAGGAGGAGGAGACCAGCTGAGAAGCACGCTGCCAGGCGGGGGCCACGCGGTGCAGGGCAATACGCCACCGCCCAGCCCTGGCTTGGGAAAGCAGTGGGCGTTCCCCGGGCGGTGGCCTTGGCCCCGCTAGCAGGGAAGCAGCTGCCCAGCTCCGTGTTGTGTGTGCAATTTTTTGGCGCGTGGCGCGGGGTCTCTTGGCTGGCCCCAATTTTTTTTTTAGAGGGGAATATTTTTTTTTCAGAGGCGGGCCGTATTAAAATGACCAACGGGCCGGATGTGTCCCGCGGGCCGTAGTTTGCCCACCCCTGATCTATAGGCAGCTTCCTATTTTCCCAAGAGACTTAGTTCTTATACAAGTCTTCTATTCTAGCTGTCAGGGCTCCGACAAATCCACCCCCACTCAAATCATAAGTCTCTAGCTGCATCTCTCAGAGTAAAAAAAAAAAAGATTTATTAGGAGTGACCACGTTGGCGTTACCTGGGTGCAGCCAACACTAAGACACATCATTCATTTCCCTGGTCTTCCCACCCACCCTCTGGATGTATATTCTCCAATGGGACACATCCATAACCAAGAATCATCAATCATGCTCTCCAGTAATAATCTTGCGCGCCAACAGCTTCGGCTGCCTAGCAATTATCTGAAGCATTTAAGGAATGCACTACTTTCCCCATTCCCTTTCTGCTGGCAACTAAAAAAAACAAAGAAGTATTTTTTAGTTGACACTAGCTATCTATTTATCTTTTTCCATGCAATTTATTATGGATGAAAGCCTCTGTAGCCTATTAAAAATAACTTTTGTTTTTATGAAAAAGGTGAACCTGAGTATCCTGGAGACGAGAGATAGGTATAAACTGAAAATAAGTAAATGTGTAAGTGTCTATGGAGATTCTCAGTCATCCAGGTCATAGTTGTCCCAAAGGTGTTTTTCAAGAGGCAACTAGACTTTCTGTTTTTTCTTTGATGAGATTTCACTTCTCATCCAAAAAGCTTTTTTGGAGCTGAAGAAGCTTCTTGGATGAGAAGTGAAATCTCATCAAAGAAAAACCAGAAAGTCCAGTTGTCTCTTGAAAAAAGCACCTTTGGGACATAAATGTGTAAGCATTAACAATTCCGGGGAGACTAGACTCAAACATCAGGCAGTTAGGGCATTGGTCTAAGGATAGCATTTAGCTAAACTTGGCTGATTCTCCCTCCACCTACACACATCCACACCCCCACTCACACACACCATTAAGCAGGTTTCTTGGAGGAGAAGCCACCAAAGAATTGTAGGACTATCGACTTGACAGCAAAATTGGGAAAACATAGCAAAATAGGACAACGGCAAACTACAAGTTATGGTTGCCAAGAAAACTCAATGTAGTCTCCGTAAATTTATTCGAAGGAGGCTTCCTCTTTTCTTAGGCTTTTCTATAGATGCGTAATGATACCTGGAAAGTCCATGGTTTTGGACATCGCCCCTGGGAAATCCTTGTCAAAATTCACAAGTCTTTATGGTGTAGCTTAGAAGGAATAAAATACAGCGCAATTTCATGAAGAACAGAGTTAGATAACTGACGGGCCATATGAAACTCCTTGAAGATATGAGACTTCAACTGACTAGGAAATTCTGGGAATTGAAGTCCACATATCTTGATGCTACTAAGTTGAGAAACCCTGCTCTAGAGCAGGGTTGTCAAATTTGCATTGTCATGGCAGTGTCATGTATTGTATTGGGATTCCCCCCCCTTCGCTAAACCAGGTGGGGGCGGGGCCAGTACGTGACGCATCTGGCCCACAGTCCACGAGTTTGACATACCTGCTCTAGAGTATTACCTGTTAGTGAAAATAAGCATTGTGGTTTGCCAGCTTACTTATTTATTTCCTATTTAAATTTGTAGATCCTCCCATTCATCAACAATTCTAATTTCTCATAACCTACCAACTTTCCATTTCTTTATACTGATTTTTTTTTAAAAAAAAGGGTATGCTATGCACCATTCAGTATGCCCTTAGCGTATAAAATATTGTTCAGGTAGATACAAATGCTATTTCCTTGCCAGGTTAAAAAAAGGCAAGCACATGATTCATTTTATTTCCCATATCCACTCATATTTCTTTTTGTTGTAGGAAACATTAAGGAACTTTTTGCTCCAGGTGTGATTGGACCACAAACGGTGCTGGTGCTGGCAAATGCCATTTACTTTAAAGCAACTTGGCGACATCAATTTGATCCGAAGTATACAACTGAAAGAAATTTTAGGCTGAATGAGGTATTGCAGTGCTACATAAAATACTGTACAGTACAGCAATATGTGACCTTTTAAATATGTTGCAATATGGCATGACTTCACTATATATTTGAATATAATTGATGTGTTACCAACATTCAGAGTTTGTGATGACCCAGGATGGGATACAAAAGCAACAAAGTCACAAAAACAGGTGAAGTCCCTTTAATTCCTTCAACTTGGCTTCAAAGATCCAATTATCATTGACTGGAGAAAAAACTCCCCCACAAACAGTTGCAAAAAGGAAGAACTTCTGTTCAAACTCAAAATAAATATAAATTATAAATAGAAAAACAACAACACAAACCACACTGACACAATTAAGAAGACAAGGAAGGATAAGGGCTTGAAGACGTCCACAGGTATTGAAATACACACACTGGGAAGGATGCCAGAACTCAAATAAGAACTGGCAAACTAGAAACATTTTCACACTTTGCTTCCAGCACTGGCCCATGCGCAGTTTGTCCTTTTAAACAGTCTTCACAGCTGCAGCCCACGAAGGGGATCAAGGCCCTTTCCTCCCCCATAGACCATGCCATTCACGTTTCTTGCTTATCCACTCCTCCCTGCATGCCCTAGGATGAAGAGGGGATGGGCCTGGGTCTTCCTCTGAATGCCCAGCCGGCCTGTACCCTTCCTGTTTCCTCCACAACCTCCGGAGTCACACTCCCACTCCCTGTCGGCTGTTCCTCCTCTCCCTTGGAGTCAGATTCTAACAGGGGCATGACAGAGTTATTCTATTGTTCATATGTAGGGAACCTGTGTCCTTTAAGATGATGGTGGACTACTGTTTCCATAATGTCTGGTGAATAGCTTCTGGCTAGGGCCAAGGGATTTTGAAGTCCAACAACATCTGAAGGACCACAAGCTTACATAACCATTTTAAGTTACTGATTGGCTGACTTTCCAGTAACACAGAATACAAGGCTAGTATACATCATTGGATAGAAGTGGGAAAGGTCCATAGTCAAAGAGATCTGTTACTAATCATTCCCCCCTCCCCCCCGATAAGTGTCCATCCCTTTTATAATACCAAATATAAGAGTCTCCATTGTTTTGTCTATGGAGATTCTCAGTCATCCATCATTTACTCAAAGCCTACTCAAACAAAGTCCAGTTTCCTTTTGAAAGAACACCTTTGGGACTCCATTGTTTTATTTTGCATTGTTAGACAGTTTCAATTTAGCACATTCTTCCCTTTACTCAGTCAACTCTTATTTCTCCTTACTCAAAACCCAGTAGCTTGGACTTTACTCCTCTCTAGTATAGAGAATAGAGAGAGAGAACCATCTGCAAAGGTATTTATTTCTTTACAAACACAGTTATTTCAATGGCTGAAGGCAGGACTCCTGTTTTTCTACCTCCTTGTAGCAACTACTGGTGGAGATGCCAGCAGTTGTGCAAATAAAGTCAAAGCAATGGTGGCAGCCATCTTGAGACCTTTAATCTCCGGTTGAGACTGAAATTCTTTAGAACAAACCTGGATATAATCTGTTGCAGGGTGCAGCTACCCATGGAGCAGCTAGCCATGGAGCAGCAGGCAGAAGCAGACTATAGATAGTCCTCATTTAGCAACCATAATTGAGACCAGCAACTTGGTTGTTAAATGAAGTGGTTGTTAGTGAAACTGGGACTATTCTTATAATATGCTGACGCTTAGAGAGGGCTGTAAAGTACTGTAAAGCAATATATACCGTAAGTCTAAGTGCTATTGCTATGAACTTACTTTAGGTTTCCTTTACTCCCCAGATCTGTTAAAGGTTGTGAATGAAAGGATTGGTTGTAAAGTTACTTTATCACCATTGTACCTGCAAATGGTAGCTAAATGAGACAGCTAAATGAGTAGCCAAGCAAAGACTACTTGTACACCCAGTGTAGTGCATACTGATAGGGTGACCACTAGGTGGCAGCAGACAAAAGAAAGGGACATGCTACCTATTGGATTTTGTGGTAGTAGTAATACAACTTCAAAGAGTTGCTCCATCCCTGAGCCGTAGTTATTACTATTTGTCCTCAAGAAGAGCTTAATTACGCAAGGTCTGGTTAGCTGAAGAGGTGTGTTCCCTGCAATATAAACTCTAACTCTTGATGAAAGCTGGGAAGGAATAGGCTAGCCTTAGGATCCAGAGCACTTTATTTACACCCATGGACAACAAGACAGTTTTGCAGTTGATCGAACAGATCACTTGCAGAAGCTTTAAACCTTAGGCTGAACCTAATATCGTATGTTGCCAAACAGAACATGCCACCTTGAAAAATCCCAAACACCCACTAGCAAGCTTTTGATCTGCATAATGCCCCCCCCCCCTTTTTTTTTAACCCAGGGAAAGTCAAAACTGTTCCTCCATCTGCAGCTGAATTGACACAATGCTTTCTACCACTCAACACCACAAAGGGCAGTTCTAATAAAAACAAGAGTGGTGATCCAGCTTTCTCTGACCTAGTCTGATAGTCCTAGGCAGGCAGAACTTGAGCTCCACCCAATTGTCTCCTCTGTTATAAGCAACACGAGTTTGCAACTTCTGCCTGACTGATGTCGATTCACTTGGAACATGTTTACTTGTTAATTATTGCTCTGCTATCCACAGAACTATTTTGTACTGAGGGGCCCTGGGTGCTCTCTGAGCTTGCTTGTTTTCTTGCAAACTACTACTTGTTTTCTTGCAAACTACTACTTGTT